GCTCTGGGCAAGTTTTTTTATGAGTATAACATTATAACATGATATAAAACTCAAAAAAGTTGATTTTACATGATATAGCCCCTTTAAAGCCTGGTGGGGAGGCATGTAAATCCTGCCGGCCCACCAGGTTTAGAATGCACTGTGGGAAACCCTGGGTTGGGGGCCTTGTTTAGGGGCCCAAGGTGGGGTGGGTTCAGGGGTGTAGCACCAAATTCTGGGCCCTGTACACTCTCGATGTCAGTGGGCCTCTATCCATGCCAGTGCACGAGGTGCATAAGTAAAAAAAAAAAAAATTAAAAAGGAGGTATTCTTTTAAATAAAGAAGCATAAAGAGGGTTTTAAGCTACAATCAGATTATTGTTATTATATTGAAAGAACCACTCATCAATTATATTGATGAGTGGTTCTTTCATTCACCAGCTGAATTGATGCATTTGGCCTACCTGTGTTCAAATACCTAAAACATTATGCTACATCTGGTTTGTGTACTAATGTTGTGATCCATGACCCTCAAGCAAATTTTGATTTAAAAACATTTAATCTTGAACTTTAGACAAACATTTGGAACATGACGTGTGCTCAGTTTAACTGTCTGCGCACATCATAAACTGAGCACCAAATGTTTCTTTTGTGATGCAATAATATTCAAATCACATTAACTGAGTTTATGTTCACCTTCATTCAGCCATGTAGTGTATCAGCCCTTTAAACTCACTAAGAATACAGTTTGATAATCAGCCATAGTTTCATACAGAGACACAGGTGGAGCTCTACAGGTGTGTTTATCTTCTCTAACTGGAGCATCAGAAAACTTGTAATTTGTGTAAAGGACACACTGGAGGGGGGTCTGGGGGTCCTCCCCCAGAAATTTTTGAATAAAATAGAGGCTATTTCCTGATTTCTAGTGTATTTTAACAGGTTGTTAAAGATAACTTTACTTACACAAATAAAGACTTAATTAGYGACAACTAGAGACAGATTCTTCATTAAACTAGTTGCATCGTCCTGTTTTTAAACTCACTTATGACTCAGAGAATTAAATTAATGTACATATTGTGCCAAACAATGATGACACACAACTGCATGTTTCAAACTAAAATCATTAATAACTTTATCAAGTGAACAGGTGTAATTATAACTACCAACAGTGAATTTAGTTGAATGTTTGACTTTTTTCTGATTTGATGACAGGCCCACTCATAAACTGACATGACATCATGCAGCTTTCTTCACAATATAAAATAAGACTGTGCCAAATAACGGTGTTGTAAAAAATGAACTTGTGTCAGTGTCATCAACCTGCATGTAAATTAA